GTGAGCTCGTTCGGTGCTTGGCGTCGCATGTACCGGACATGGCTTGTCGAGGAATTCGTCGAGAACGGACCTGTATCCCATGAAGGGTTTGTTTTTCTTGCCGACGAGCGTGTGATCGGATGCCTCATAAGGGTGTATCTATTTTGCCCGGACAGTGGACTGCTTAAAGGCAGCGGGTTCCAACCGGGCTTTCTGGGCCTTCCATGTGCTTTCCATCGCGTAGTACTTCTGTACTAAGTGCGATAATTCCATAAAATGTTGTATGCGACGGCGACTGAGGGCATTTAGAATTCCCTCGTCTGTACAATTATGATGAAAAACCAAAACTGCGTCATTATCGCAGCAATCTTTAATCTTCTTTTTAACAAGGAGGAATCTGGCCCAAAAGTGATGGACCGTTTCCTGAGGTTGCTGCCGTACATATATTAGGTCACATATGTCTGGAGGGCCTGAATTACTTGAGGAGTATTGATTGTGGTGGGTGGGTGGGCTAAAACCCGTATCCTGACCCAAGGTTGAATTCGGAGCTTGAAAAATCTCCGAGGTCGCCAGTTCGGGTCTGGGAAGATCTAAGTGTTTTCCGGGCCCTATGTCTGACCCTGAGCTCGGAGCACGTGGAGTCTTGTCCCGAGGGAGGCTCGAGGGGCTCGGAGATCCGAACATAGCTAGTTTTTAACTTAGGGGAAGATGTGTTTTCGCCTCGTTCCTTGACGATTGCTACCAGATGGGTGATCGGCGGGGAATTGATTTCCCTCTGATCGGGTTTGAGCCCGATCCGATCATAATCTGTTGCTAGCCCCAGGGCGGCGATGCGATCTAGCAGCTCGTTTAAGGACGAGACGTCCGCCGAATCCATCTTTTCAAAGTGTTCGAGACCGATGCGGAGATGATGTTTGGGGGACGCCGTCGGCTTGATGGCCGTGTGGGTGCCCACGGTGAAACTGCCGAGTTGGAGGACCTGTCCCAAAGTCAGGCTCCTTCCAGAGGTGATGTCGTTGTTGATGACAAGGCGAGCCATCGATCCTTCTATTGACGACACAATGAAACTCTCAATGAAAGCACCAATGTCGGTGTCAAAACCGGCAGATCTCGGGTAGGGGGTCCCGAACTGTGCGTCTGAAGATCAATGGTAACAAGGGACGAGGGGGACACAATGTTTACCTAGGTCCGGGCCCTCTTAAAGGAGGTAAAACCCTACATCCTGCTTGATTGTATTCAATGAGTATAGGGGCTACAAGAGTTGATCTACCTCGAGATCGTAATGGCTAAACCCTAGCTGTCTAGCCTATGAGAATTCTGATAGCCTCTACGGACTAAACCCTCCGGTTTATATACACAACAGAGGGGTCTAGGGTTGTACAGAGTCGGTTTGTGGGGGAAGGAAATAACATATCCAGACACCAATCTTGCCTTCCACGCATATAGGAGTCCTACCCGGACACGGGGGAAAGTCTTCTGCTTGTATCTTTATGGCCCATCAGTCCGGCCCATATCAAATAGTCCGACCACCCGAGGACCCCCTAATCCAGGACTCCCTCAGTGGTGGCTTCAGATTGTTTGATTTATGTTCTTGTCGGAATTTTGTTGAACAATTAATAATATGTCTATGTGCATCGCTTGACGCAGAGGCTAGGGCTTGCTCCCCTTTTCAAAAAAATGCAAGAGAGCGACGATGTCGGGAAGAGATGGAGGCGCATAGGCTCAAAGTTCAAGATCATCATGCGATAAGCGAACACATAACCGAGTAGAGTCTGTTCATTATGATGGATCGAAGCCAAATATAACTAGTGGCATGAGAATTTTGGGATACGATGTACGTTCAGGGCCTTGGGGGGGGGGGAGGGGATACACACGCCGGAGGAGGAGGGGACAACAAGAATGCCAGATGAGAAGGGGATGATGCACATGCCGGCAACATGTGATATGTACATGTCTTGGTTAGAGACTTTTGTTTATGCAACCTATTAAAAACTATGTGCATGTTTGCTTGATGTGTTAAACATTTAAATTTGAAGAAATCAAAATGTTTGAATGAAAAAGAATATGGAGACCGAGATATGTCGACTCTGAGTCTGCCGTCGCCTGTCTAGATTTCAAATGAAAAACGTCACATATACATTCTGACAAGCACAAATGCAGCGACATTACTCTTAGAACGCAGAAAAGTTGCTATGAGTACAAACATGCCAACCTAACAGGAAGTGCTGTCGAGAACGAGCCCTTGCCTTGATGGTTGGCCTTGGCGGTGGCCAACTAGCCCACCTGGGTTTGATCCCTAGGATTAACGCGAGTGTTTCACCTGGCGCAAAAGAACCCATAACCTAGGGTTCTTTTGCCAGTTTTAAAGTATCTCACATGTCTATGGAGATTCACGGAGTCGAATGATGCGATTTAGGTGTCTGTCACGAAATTGTTTTGGTGTGAATCAAATGATTTGCCCATATTAGATGCAAAGAAGAATCATTTTAATTATTTTCCCTATATCTGTTATCTTTAATGTATTGAAAATGTAAATAGGAACAACGTAATTTTCAAGGCAATCAATAACAATCAATGTTGCATTTTTAGGCTTGTTTGAAAATGCATATAGCTAGTAGTAGTATATTTTGTTTGAAAACGTGATTTCAAATATACTCCTCACTAAACTGAATTTTCCCAGTGTTTTTGGAAGCAGAGTTCTTCCAACACGGAAGGTGGTACCAGTATAAACGTGCCAACCTAACAGCAAGAGCCGTCGAAATCCTCGGTGGTTCGGCGGCAGCAACTCCAGCGGTCCAGTCCCGATCGACCCCCACACAACTCGTACTGGTGAGCGTTATCCTGTCCCACACCAGACAATCGGAGAACGTGACCTCCGCGTCACCTCACCGCGCCAACCCCCACCCCTCCGCGAAATAATTCCGTCCCCGTCCAAACGCCGCTTCCCACCCGGGCCGACGCGCAGCCACGCGGGTCCCGACGTCTGACACCGGCCCCAGCTCACTGACACGTGGGGCCCCTGACCCGGGTACATGTGCCGTTCGGCACGAACGGAATGGCGGAGGAGCTATACGGTGCCGCGGTGGGGTGCGCCGCGGGTGAGCCTACCGCGGTGGGGACCACACCGGGCGCGGTATATAAAGGCCCCGCACCTTCTGCATCGCGTTTCCACTTAGTCCAATAAATAATATAGTAATACAGCATTTCGCCGCTCTTTTAATTAGATTTTTTTGGCCTTCGTCTCCGCTTCGTCTCGTCTCGTCTCACCACCGCCAGTCCACCACCAGCTCGCCGGAATTCCCTCGCCGGAGACGCGCTGCGGAGGCATACCTAGGAGGAGGAGCGAAGAATGGGGAGGAGTGGAGGGGTGCCCGCTGCCGCGCTCGCTCGCTAGGGTTAGGTGCGCGCGTGCGTGAGGATGGAGCTCGCTCTCTGAGCTCGCCTCGACCCCCCGCTGAGGGCATTAGCTGTGCCGTCGCTGCGCGCTGGGTGATCTGCCCTCCTGTGAGCTCCGGGGGAGCCGTTTTGGCTTGCGCCATGGAGCCGTCTCTTCCGGGCGCGGCCACGGGTTGCGTGTTGCGGTAAGCTCCTGGCCGCGACAAGCTGAAGGGGATCTCGACTGCCGATCTGGTGAGCCTACAAATTCTTCCGTTTCTAACAATTTTTTTGCGGGTTTTCATGCAAATTCGGGGTGCGTTTGTGCAGAAAAATGGTGTTTGAATTCCTGGAGGTATTTGTTTGGGGGTAATTTTGTGCGTATTTTTCTCGCTTTGTGTGATCTGTGCTCGGGTTCGGGGGATACTTTGATGCGGTTGGGCAGTATTTTGGTCTCTTCTGCCTTTTTATTTTGATCACAAGTTTCTTGTGCTCTTTCGAGCTCGTCGAGGACGAGGAGCATTAAATTTCCCGTCGTCTTTTGCGCTGTTTTATGGCTAATTAGTTTGGGAGCACAGAGTTCTGCACGGAATTTTGCATAACCTTTTTTAATCGTTCAATTCGAGTTGTTCCGGTCCTAAATTTTGCAGAATTTCTCCAGTGTTCCGTAGCCGGTCTCGTGAGTTCGATTTTGGGTTCACGGTCGATCAAATCTAGGCCTCGGGACTGCATTTTCTCGCGTTTATTATTTGATGATCTGCTTCAGTCGAGCTACCTGAGGTGTTGAAACTTGGTATCTGTCTATCTTTCAAGGTGCTAGCAGGATGCCAGCTAGAATCATGGAGCAGAGGCACCACATGCCCCCATTCCACCTCCCCGTGGAGTCCGAATCGTCTTCTCCCATGTGGTAAGCCAACTGCAATAGCCATTATTGCCCGATATCCTTAAATGATGTCTAATGATGGACTGCATTCTTTCTTACTTTAGGGTAGGGGGTACTAATTGGTTCAGTTTTGGGGTGACTTGGTCAGTATCATTAACAACTAGACCTAGGTTAATTCCTTCATCATTATCGAATTCTTTTTGTAGAGGCCTGTTGGACACTTCAGGCAGGAATGTTTTCCTGAGCATGTTAGTGACTACCTGAACATTCGTGTAATTTGTAGGTGCTTATTAGTTTATTCTTCGGGTAGTTTCTCTCGGACTAAATAAAATGTGACCTAGCAGAACACTGTTACAGTTTACGGATATGTGGGGGCATCCGAGGTTCCACATATGGGACAATTGATCGAGCAAGATTGGAGGATGTGTATCGTTGTTTCCAGGTAGCTTAAGGTAGCTGTCTTGCTATATATGGGTGAAGCAGCTGATTTGGAAGGCACATGGTCTCACAGGGGTGATTGGGTATCGATTATTGACAGATGCGCATGGATGTTGCCTACAATGATTCTTCCATTAAATAATTCTGATGTTGCTTCATCACTTCTCTTTGCGCTCAGTGTTTGTGTTCGTTTTTATGGCTGATTTATTTCTTGTTTTGAAAAACAGAAAAAAGATTCATTGATTTCGGGAAGTAGGTCTGCTGCATCTTCTCCAGTCGAAAAGCCAAAGCCTATTGGCCAAAGGTTGTGCATCAATTAGGACTTATGGACCCATACAAGTTGATGGACCAGAAAACTCCCTTTGGTGAGCACAAGTTGTTGGGCCATCAAAGGCATGTTAACCTGCCGCCAACCCCCTGGAGGGCTGATCAAGATCCTCTACAACAACATGATTCGTTTTCGAAGCCGTTGGCTTTATTTCCTAATGCTAGAAAAGGACATTTAAATATGACCCAATATGAGAATGGACTTTTCTCAAGCTCCCTTCCAGACATTTTTGACAACAAATGTAAGCCCTTGATCCTTGTCTCTTGCAGTTTTTATTTCATTTATTGTAGCACTTCATAACACTGAACTATGAACTGCGTCCATCCGATATGGTACTCCTCCCTTCAGTTCATATAAATAATACTCCCTCCGTCCCAAAATGTAAGACGCTTTTTGACACTATACTAATGTTAAAAAGCGTCTTATATTATGGGACGGAGGGAGTAGTATGCAGATAACGGAAAGGGTAAACAAAAGAAGATAAGGAAAATATTTTTATTTGCTTATTAATAAAAAGCTTGTTTGCTTTTATTGACTGTTTCACTTCAGTGAAATCTGAGCTTTTCTTGCTACATCCAAGTGAGAAACGAGACAAACTGGCCTGAGCTTTTCATGCTACATCCAATTGAGAAATGAGAGTCTGTCCTGTGCTTTTCATGCTAAGTCCAAGTGAGAAAAGAGACAATCTGCAGTAATATTAGTGCTTAATACTAAACCACTTTTAATTTGCTGATGTGCAGTGAGACTAACACCTAAGAATGGCCTTGTTGGCCAGCCAGCTGAAAAGGAACTCAACCATGCAGATGACGAGCCTTTTGAATTAACTCAGGAAATTGAGGCACAAGTAATTGGCAATCTCCTCCCTGATGATGACGACTTATTGTCAGGTGTTCTTTATAATGTGGGTCACCCTGCCCGTGCTAATAACATGGATGACATTGATGACGATATATTCTCTACTGGAGGTGGAATGGAATTGGAAGCTGATGAAAATAACAAATTGCTAAAACTTAATGGAGGTGCCAACACCGGTCAGACTGGGTTCAACGGCCTACTGTATGGCGAAAACCCCTCGAGAACCCTTTCCATTAGAAACATTAATACCAATGTTGAGGATACTGAATTGAAACTCCTATTTGAGGTAAGTTCCATCTTCCAGCTTGACTTTCTCCCAACTCTGAAGGCAATATATTTCACCTGATAGCATTTATTTTCTTTGTAGCAATATGGAGACATCCGAACACTTTACACTGCCTACAAACATCATGGTTTAGTGATGATATCTTACTATGATATAAGATCGGCAGAACGTGCCATGAAAGCGCTTCAAAGCAAGCCATTCAGGCAGTGGAAACTTGAGATACATTACTCCATCCCAACGGTATTTCCTTGATATAATGCCATTCTGACTTGATATGATGTGGTGCTTTGACATTACTTAATGTGATATTACTACGATGTTTGCTTGCCATTATTTGTTGCATTGGTACTTAATTGGCACTGGAAATGTATTTATACTTGCAAGAATGTTCACATTCTAATGCTGACTTTGTTCCAATAGGAGAACCCTTTGGAGAATGACAATAACCAGGGCACACTTGCAGTGATTAACCTAGACCAGTCTGTAACTAATGATGATCTTCGTCATATATTTGGTGGCTATGGTGAAATCAAGGCGGTATGGCCTGCGCACTAACCAACTCTTATGTCAGCTAGTACACTACAGATACTAACTTCCTTGTTTATCAGATTCACGGGACATCACAAAATGGCCATCACAAATACGTTGAGTTTTTTGATACCAGAGCAGCAGAAGCTGCACTTTATGCTTTGAACATGAGAGATATTGCAGGAAAGAAAATCAGATTAGAGCGCTGCTGCCTGGGCGACGGTAAACGGTATTACTGTGACCATAATTTTGCGCATCTGTCCATTTTTAGTGCTTCTAGTGCCTTCGCTTTTCGAAGAGTCTTATTACACATCTTGTGTCGGCTACCCTTCATGAAGTTCTTTTTTCTCCAACACGCTTTAGAATGCTGTTATTTTTTATTAGAGGAAGGTACTGAAATGGCACAAGGTATGACCAATGGAAGCCAAAAATGAACAGAAAAACTAAAAAACCAGCAAACAAAAAACCAAAAAGGCTAAGAAGACTAACAAAATCTAACCAAAACTAGCATAATGACCTATATATACTATACCAATTAGGAAGCAAGAGACCTGAAGCCCCAGTAAGCAGCAGAATATGGCGGTCCAGTCGGTAGCAGCAACCTTCGCAGATCAACTTTGTATAAAGTTATCTGGGTATCTGCGAATTGAGGAAATATATAATTCAACGGTGTTTATGGTCTTGCATATACTGTGAAGTTGGTAAACATATCGTCAATGGACATATACAGTATACACGGGGCTGATGCAATTCCTGTCTCTTCAATAAAATATGTTTTAGTTATTAAACACGCAAACTTGTGATTGACGTTTAATATGATTTTTTAGAGTCGTCATTTGCACTTGAATTCAAAGTTGGTTGTATACTTGTATATTTCTTGTTTTAGGGAAGTGTGCTTTGGAGTTTGGAGGAAATTGGTAGGTGTAAAAAAATCTTTTCATATGATGTGCAGGAAGATGTGTTTTAGAACTTGATGCAGAACGTCCCCCCTATGGATTATTATGCTTGTCTAAACTTTATTTTTGGAGGAAGAAACAAGAGCATCTGACTTTCCTTATGCCTATTCTTACAACTGTATTAGTAATGCTAGTTTTTGCACAACAGTTTGACGCGGCACAGGCCTCCTGAGTTGGAGCACGAAGAGTATGGTGCATGCAAGCTAGGAAATGCAAACAGTCTGCCGTCAACTTACTACGGTATGCAGTTTGATTTCAAATCACGAGACATGTTTCTGCTGCTAATCGCATTTACTAACCTATGTATGGCATAATACAAGGTTCTGTCAACATGGCTTCCATGACTTCCGCTGGTCCTGAACATGGGATCTCTCGGGTTCTGCGTCCCAGAGTTCAGCCACCAATACACCAATTCAGGGAGGGAGCTTTCCTGGATGTTCCCTCAAATACTATGCAAAGTATATCCTCTCCTGTTAGAATTGCAACTGCAGTAACGCATAACAACCGGTCGACTGTCGGTGAGAATGGTCATTCACTTGGAAAGATGGGTGGACAGATTAATGGACACTTGAATTATGGATTTCATGGGGTTGGAGCTTTCAATCCACATTCCCTTCCTGACTTTCGCAACGGCCAAAGTAATGGTATTTCTTGCAACTTAGGCACAATATCACCCATTGGAGTTAAGAGCAACTCTAGAACTGCTGAAGGAATGGAGAGCAGACATCTTTACAAAGTTGGTTCTGCTAACCTTGGTGGTCATTCTTCTGGTCATACCGAAGGTACTAATTTGGGTGCCTTATTTACTGATGTAGCCATATGTTTATGGAGACGCACTGTTTCCATTAGGTTCATTTGCCATCTCTTTCCCTTCCAGTCATTTTCTTGAAAATGTCAATTTTGAAAGAACATATGCTTTGATATCAATAATACAGAAGCTTTTATAGCTTAATGGTAATTGGTGTAGCCTAAATTATACTATTTTTGAGGTTGCAACTATTCTGTTTAGACAATGCAATTAGGCTTACATGGGCATGCCTTGTGTTCTTGTAGCACCCGGGTTTTCAAGAACTGGAAGCTGCCCCCTTCATGGCCACCAAGTAGCGTGGAATAATTCAAATAACTCCCATCACCATACCTCCTCTCCCATGCTATGGACGAACTCAGGATCATTTATCAATAATATACCATCTCGACCTCCCATGCAAGCGCATGGAATTTCAAGAACATCTCGCATGCTTGAAAATGTCCTTCCAGTGAATCATCATGTTGGATCTGCACCAGCTGTCAATCCATCAATTTTGGATAGGAGAACTGGTTATGTAGGGGAGCTGATGGAAGCGCCAAGTTTCCACCCTGGGAGTGCTGGAAGCATGGGTTTCTCTGGTAGTCCGCATCTGCATCAGTTGGAGCTCACTAGCATGTTTCCTCAGAGTGGAGGGAACCAAGCCATGTCCCCTGCACACATTGGTGCTCGATCTCCTCAGCAGAGGGGGCATATGTTTAATGGAAGGGGTCATATAGGTCCCCCTCCATCTTCATTTGATTCACCAGGTGAACGTGCAAGGAGCCGAAGAAACGAGTCATGTGCTAATCAATCGGATAATAAAAGGCAGTATGAGCTAGACATTGAGCGTATAGTCTGCGGCGAGGATTCCCGGACTACTTTAATGATAAAGAACATCCCAAACAAGTATACATCTGGGACTTTCTGATTTTGTTCTAGTTTATGTGCAAGTGTCACTCTATTTGAAGTCACGCCATGTTTTGATGTTTCTATTGCCTTAATGGTATTTCAGGTACACCTCTAAGATGCTTTTGACCGCTATTGATGAAAATCACAAGGGAACTTATGATTTTATCTATCTTCCAATTGACTTTAAGGTGAATGGAGCTTTTGTAAACAGCTGTTGCATGTTTATCCTTGGTTCGACATTACTTGCATACAACGAACTAATGGTGCTCATGTGCATTTTCAGAATAAATGCAACGTGGGCTACGCATTCATCAATATGATAAGTCCTGAACATATTGTTCCATTCTATAAGGTGAGAGTGAGATGTTACAAGTTATGAAATGGCGGCAGTGTATTAGATAAAGCTTCATGTTGACATTTTTATATGATTTTTCACCCTCTGCTTTCCGTCGTCATTTCTTTTTCCATAACTACCTGTATTACACTATCATGCTACAATTGCATGGATTTTGGATATCGCATGTCAGGTAGTCAGTAGTACCTTTACCATTTCTGGTTTCACGCTCTAAGCATTTTTTACCTAATGCCAGTCGATAAATGAACAACATACATGCCTGTCTCTTTCAGATATTTCATGGGAAAAGGTGGGAGAAATTCAATAGCGAGAAGGTAGCATCACTTGCATATGCTAGAATCCAAGGAAAATCATCTCTAATTGCGCACTTCCAAAATTCAAGTTTGATGAATGAGGATAAACGCTGCCGCCCTATACTTTTTCACTCAGATGGTCCAAATGCAGGGGATCAAGTATGTTCTCTGATTGTCCATATCCTTTGCTGTATTACTGTTTCGATAGGGCACCTGACTTGGTGCCACTAACTAGATGACCTGTATATCTTATTGTGTGCCCATCCAATACATGATCGGTGAAGTCCACACACATACCTAATTTTATATCATTATATTTTTATTATCTTGCATCTGAAATTAAGCAGTAGACCTTACACAGTTTAGTATGTTTTTTTCTTATGCTACGTCAGAACTTTTCCTGAGTATTTCTTTCCTTTAGAATTGTATTGACGCGGAAAGAAATACTGAGGAAAAATTCTTACTCCCTCCGTTCCAAATTACTCGTCGTGGTTTTAGTTCAAGAGTACTAATTAAAATCCTACAAATCATGGAATATGATCCTCAATTTATTCTAAATCCTTTGAAACAAGGAGGTCCTTGAGGATTCAAGCATAGGCTCATCGTTCTTGTTTCCTAGTGTTGCTATGTTCTTTTTAATGATACATATAGCTGTATAGGCTCATCATTTTCTTCACATATGGTGGTGTTTGATGCGCAATTGGGATACATTGTGGGTTAGGGAGCGGAAAATAAAACCATCTTGTTAACATTAGGCAGGGCTATGAGTTTGGAGTAGAGAATATAGTGCATACATGACAAGATTGCCCCTCGATAATGGCTTTACTTAATTTTGTGTGTATATATTTTTTGTATTTTTAACATTATTACTCAACCTGTCTACAAAAAACCATCGTTCTGATTGGACTTCAAACTGTGGTATATGAAACTACATATCCCATGCCAAACACCCCAATAGATTGAACTCCTCCCACCCACTATTTCCATTCTTACCTCCCATGATGAGTCTGAACTGACCATGTTTTTGTTGTAAACTTTTCTCAGGAACCTTTTCCAATGGGAACACACGTCCGTTCTAGGCCTGGGCGATCCAGGGTTTTGAGCTGCGAAGAAAGTCACCGGGACACTCTGTCATCTTCTGCCAACAATTGGACTCCTTCCAACGGGGGCGGCCACGCTTCAGGCTACTCAAAGGAGGCTGACCCAACCACAGCTTGAAAGCTGAAGCACTAACCACAACATCAACATCCAACCTTTTGACATTTGCAATCCCAGTTTTCACATTACCATCCTTTCCCACCTCTTTTTGCTTGTGGTATTTTCGGAGTCTGTAGCTATTTAGTACTTTCTATGTCGTGGGCTACCAGAGGCTTCCTAGAGGCTGCAAATTTTGTCGCTGAGTAGAAGCAAGGGAACGGACGGAGGGTGCTCCCAGTTTCTCCTGAGCCTATATGCGTGTATTAACTGAAGGCCGTGGAAGGCAAAACTCGTGGGGAGCTCTCTGAGATTTTGGACTGTAAGGTGTAACCCAGCGTTGTACAGGGTTTCCTAGTAAGAATGCATGACGGGGACAGCCGACACTGTATTGGTGCTGTTGTATGAAAGGCAGGCTGTGCCATGCAGCGTCTTTTGAAACTGTTTTGATGTTAACTACTCCCTCCGTCCGCGAATAAGTGTACATCTAGCTTTTATTCTAACTCAAAGTTTTGAAACTTTGACCAACTTTATAGGTAAAAGTAGCATCATTTATGGCACTAAATTAGTATCACTAGATTCGTTCTGAAGTGTATTTTTATAATATACCAATTTGATGTCATATAATCCTACTACTCTTTTTTAACAAGTTGGTCAAAATTATAAAACTTTGACTTAGGAAAAACGGTAGAAGTACACTTATTCGAGGACGGAGGGAGTAGGAAACATGCCCGTGTGTTGCAACGGGAGAAATAAAATCCTTGACATAATGATAATTGTTTAAGACACTCCATGGCTACATGCGCATCATTTCAATATGGTGAAGCACTAATAGCATAAGCAGTGAAAGCTTAATTTACAATTCAACTTTAATGGTGCCAAAAGTAGTTACAAAGACATGCATTATTTCATACATAGATTTATAGCTATAGAGTATCTACTGCTAGTGTTGAATTTTTAGCATGTTAGTTGTAGTCTTTGTGCACAAAATAAGAGAGTTTTTTACTATACAAAATCTCATTGATGACATTTCCAACAAAATTTTAAATTATTATGCTGGTACAATTTTAAATTGAGGAAATCTGAGGAGGCTAATAATTATTTTAGGTTACCTCAAATTCATTTTTTTTCTTAGAGATATTGAAAATTTATTTTGTCATTGTGAGTTTATTTAATTTTCTGACAAAGTCTATTTTTTTTACATGATCTTGGTTGGTCGTTGTATCCGAAATAGGATTATCTTTGTGGCAAAACAAACACTCACATGTGTAGTTAGTTTTTTCATTAAAAGTATGAGCGTCCTGTGGGTCGCGCTCATGCAGCTATAGCAGCTATAGCTGCAGTCTTCATCAGGTTTGATGAAGATTGTTTTCGTCAGGGAAGACCCAATCCAATCCACCTCCACGTCTCCGCAGCGCAGCGACCGCACCGCATGCCACAGCTCCTCCTGCGTCCAGCGCCGCCGGTCAGCAGCGCCTGCCGCGCCCTTGCGTCAGATTGCAAGATGGACGAGTCATACCGCCGCTTCGCCGTCAAACAAAAAGGCCGCAAAGCTGTCACTGGGCTGACTGCATCATCACAAACGGGTTCAAGCGGATACGCCGCATTGTCTACTACCAGCCTACTCTCTCTCTCTGATGAAGAGAATCCACAAGCAGCTACCAAGCAAACTCTTCGTCACCGATTCACCGATTCAACTTGATTGCATGGAGTTTAACCCGTATACAACGTTGGTCGTCGATGTTTTGTCAGGCGTCAGTACATCCCCCTGTCCATCCTCAACAGGGTCACATACCACTACTAGATTCAGATGGCCACCATGTACGCCTTTGCCGACGCCGGCTCCACTACCATCGAGAAGGGCCGCGCGGCTGTGCTCGCATAGTACTGCACCTTTGCCGGCCAGCTCCGCAAGTGTCCCAGCAACATGCCGGTGTGGGGTCCTGAACGACCGCATTGTGCGTGCGCTCCTCCAGTCCTCAGTACGTGCCCAACCGCGAAGTCTGCGGTTGTCCGCGGCATGGAAAGAGAGAAGCTGGTGGCGGACTGTGCTGCTGCTACCTGAGTTCCTCTACTCTGTGTTGTGTTTGTCGCCAGCAGTGTTGAACATGTGTATCTGTACATAGGTCTGGGTTTCGTATGCAGTATCAGTAGTGTCTATCTCCTTTTGTATGTATGTGTATCTTAGGAGACAAGATACAGGTCACACCCCTTGTACCTATATATATGTGCCTAATCCACAATCAATAAATCATCGATGCACCAAATCATTCTCTACATGGTATCTATCGCAAGTCGATCCCCTACCGCTTCCGCCTAACCCTGGCCGCTTGCTGCACCGCTCGCGCCGCGCCGCTCCCTTCCCGCGCCACTATGACTTCCTCCGGCTCCTCCTCCTACAACCCCTTCGCCGGGCCGGACCCCGCCGACATCCGCGACATCAACATCCACGACCGCGTCCCCGTCGTCCTCGATGCCACCGACGCCACGTACTTCGCGTGGAAGAAGTACTTCTCGCTGCTCTTCCGCGAGAACAACCTCGTGGATCACGTTGACGGCTCCGTTGACTCCCGCACCATGGTGGGCGACTCCGAGTGGATCGCGATCGACGCCACGCTCATCCGGTGGTTCTTCACCACCATCTTGAAGGACCTGTTTCACACGGTCGTGAGCGATGGTGATGATGCCCGCGTTGTGTGGGTCAATCTCAATGGCCTCTTCGCCTACAACAAGATTCAGTGCCGCATGTTTTTGCAGCAGAAATTTTTTGACTGTCATCAGGATGATCAGTCTATCGATGACTACTGCCGCCGTCTGAAGACGTTGGCGGATGAGCTTCGTGACATTGGCGCCAAGGTTGATGACGACCTCCTCCTCAGCACGCTCACCGGCGGCCTCAATGAGGACTTCGGTAACGCCGCCTCCAACCTCTCCCTCATATCGGAGCCCTCCTTCCCCAAGTTTATGGCATACTTGCGGTTGGAGGAGCGCCGGATGAAGGGGGTCAAGAAGCGCGCGCAGCACCACACCCTCGCCTTTGGCACCTCGCGTGGTGCCCCTCCACCGGCCACCCCGCCCGCGCCCCGTCACCAGCCGGTGCCCCTAGCGCCTCCAAGGTTTTACCCCCTCCCGCCTGCGCCCTCTCGCCCCACCCACTGCCCCCAGCAGCCGCAACAGGGTGGCGGGCGCCACGGCAACCACCATGGGGGCGGTCGCAAAGAGGCGCAGGGGGGCCCTCGTCAGCAGCAGCAGCAGCAAGCCACCCCGCCCTGGACTTACGGCACCAACCCATGGACGGCGTCGTACACACGTACTCGATGCCGGTTCCTCGGGCTCCCGCTCCTGTTGGAAATATGCCCTAGAGGCAATAATAAAAGGATTATTATTATATTTCCTTGTTCATGATAATTGTCTTTTATTCATGCTATAATTGTGTTATCCGGAAATCGTAATACATGTGTGAATGCATAAACACCAACATGTCCCTAGTAAGCCTCTAGTTGACTAGCTCGTTGATCAACATATAGTCATGGTTTCCTGACTATGGACATTGGATGTCATTGATAACGAGATCACATCATTAGGAGAATGATGTGATGGACAAGACCCAATCCTAAACATAGCACAAGATCGTATAGTTCGTTTGCTAGAGTTTTTCCAATGTCAAGTATCTTTTCCTTAGACCATGAGATCGTGTAACTCCCGGATACCGTAGGAGTGCTTTGGGTGTACCAAACGTCACAACGTAACTGGGTGACCATAAAGGTATACTACGGGTATCTCCGAAAGTGTCTGTTGGGTTGACACGGATCAAGACTGGGATTTGTCACTCCATATGACGGAGAGGTATCTCTGGGCCCACTCGGTAATGCATCATCATAATGAGCTCAAAGTGACCAAGTGTTTAGTCACGGGATCATGCATTACAGTACGAGTAAAGTGACTTGCCGGTAACGAGATTGAACGAGGTATTGGGATACCGACGATCGAATCTCGGGCAAGTAACGTACCGATTGACAAAGGGAATTGTATACGGGGTTGCTTGAATCCTTGACATCATGGTTCATCCGATGAGATCATCGAGGAGCATGTGGGAGCCAACATGGGTATCCAGATCCTGCTGTTGGTTATTGATCGGAGAGTCGTCTCGGTCATGTCTACATGACTCCCGAACCCGTAGGGTCTACACACTTAAGGTTCGGTGATGCTAGGGTTGTAGAGATATGAGTATGCAATAACCCGAAAGTTGTTCGGAGTCCCGGATGAGATCTCGGACGTCACGAGGAGTTTCGGAATGGTCCGGAGGTGAAGAATTATATATAGGAAGTGCAGTTTCGGCCATCGGGAGAGTTTCGGGGGTCAGCGGTATTGTACCGGGACCACCGGAAGGGTCCCGGGGGTCCACCGGGTGGGGCCACCCATTCCGGAGGGCCTCATGGGCTGAAGTGGGGAGGGAACCAGGCCATAGTGGGCTGGTGCGCCCCCCCTTGGGCCCCCATGCGCCTAGGGTTGGGAACCCTAGGGGAGGGGGCGCCTCCACTTGCCTTGGGGGGCACTCCACCCCCTTGGCCGCCGCCCCCCTAGGAGATCCCATCTCCTAGGGCCGGCGCACCCCCTAGGGGGCCTATATAAGGGGGGGAGGGAGGGCAGCCGCACCCGAAGCCTTGGCGCCTCCCTCTCCCCTGCTACACCTCTCCCTCTCGCAGAAGCTCGACGAAGCCCTGCTGCGATCATTGCCGCATCCACCACCACGCCGTCGTGCTGCTGGATCTCCGTCAACCTCTCCTTTCCCCTTGCTGGATCAAGAAGGAGGAGACGTCATCCGCTCCATACGTGTGTTGAATGCGGAGGTGCCGTCCGTTCGACACTTGGTCATCGGTGATTTGGATCACGACGAGTACGACTCCATCATCCCCGTTCTCTTGAACGCTTCCGCTCGTGATCTACAAGGGTATGTAGATGCACTCCCCTCTCGTTGCTAGATGACTCCATAGATAGATCTTGGTGAAATGTAGAGAATTTTT